TCCAGGTGGCCGAGCTGTCTATGGCCAAGACCTGGACCTGATCAATGCTCTTTTGCTTGACCACCTCTACCAAGACTTTCTTACTCAGGTGGGCAAATGAGGAGGATGCCAGTTTTGACAGGGCGTCCGCGCGCTTGTTCTGGGATCTCGGCACCCGCTCGATTTCAAAAGTATCGAATAGGGCTATTGCCTCCCGTACCTTGGCCAGGTATTTCTTCATGATATCCTCCTTGGCTTCGTATTCCCCGTGAACTTGGAGGACGACGAGCTGGGAGTCGCTCCGGACTTTGATCGCGGTTATACCCATCTGGTGGGCTATCCGCAATCCTATAAGCAAGGCCTCGTACTCGACTTCATTGTTGGATGCGGGGAAGTCAAATCGGAGGGCGTAGGTGAGCTCCTCCCCGGTAGGCGAGATGAACAACAGGCCAGCTCCGCTCCCTTCCTTACTCGAGGCCCCATCTACGAACAGGATCCAAGGCTCTCCCGACCGCGACTCACTGGGCGGAGAGCTCTGCCTGGTGATGGCCAAGCTAGCCCCCTCAGCGAGGAAGTCCGCCAAGGCCTGAGCCTTGATAGCGGTGCGAGGCTGATAGCCGATGTCGTGCTCGGCCAGTTCAACGGCCCACTTGGTCATTCTATCCGAGACCTTGGGATTTGTAAGTATCTGCCGTAGGGGCTGATCCGTCATGACGACGATGCTGTGGGCCTGGAAGTAAGGTCGGAGCTTACGGGCCGCGTGCACCAAGGCGAGGACCAGTTTCTCTGCCGGCGTGTACCGCGTTTCCGGCCCCTGCAAAGCACGGCTGACGTAGTATACCGGCCTCTGAGTCCCTCCATCCTCCCGCAACAAGACCGCGCTGACGGCCTCGTTGCAAGCGGACATGTATAGGAACAAGGTCTCCCCCTGCTCCGGGGCGGTCAGAGTGGGCAGCTCAGCCAGGTAGGCCTTCAGGTCGGCGAAGGCTTTCTAGCACTCTGCAATCCATTGAAAGTCCTTGGGAGTTTTCAAGATCCGGAAGAAGGGCAGCCCCCGGACCGCGGAACGCGAGAGGAATCTGTTCAGGGCGGCCATCCTTCCTTTTAGCCGCTGGACCTCCTTTACGCTCCTCGAGGGGGCCATGTCTATGATAGCCTGGAGCTTATCCGGGTTGGCCCGGATCCCGTCTCGAGACACCAAGAATCTCAGGAACCTCCCCGACCTAACCCCGAAGGTACACTTCTTCGGATTCAATCGCATCCGGCTCTCCCGCAGGATGCTCAGTATCTCCCTCAGGTCGGGGATGAGCTGCTGATCAGTTCGGCTCTTGACGATCATGTCATCTATGTAGACTTCCATGCTCCTGCCGATCTGATTCTGGAACAGTTTGTTGACCAGACGCTGGTAAGTGGCTCCCGCGTTCTTCAGGCCAAACGGCATAGTCCGGTAGCAGTAGGTTCCTTCCTCGGTGATGAAGGAGATCTTTTCCCGGTCCTCCTCAGCCATCTCTATCTGGTGGTACCCCTTGAAGGCATTCAGAAAACACAAGACATCAATTCCCACAGTAGAATCTACTAACCTGTAGATTCTCGGCAGAGGAAAACAGTCATTTGGGTAGGTTTTGTTGAGATCCGTGAAGTCCACGCACATCCTCCAGGTCTGGTCCTCTTTCTTAACCAATACCGGGTTTGCCAACCAGGTCGGGTAGTAGACCTCCAGGATGATCTTAGGCTCCAGCAGTTTTCCGACGTCTTTCTTAATCACCTCATTCTTTTCTGGGGTGAAACTCCTCTTCTTTTGCTTCACCGGCTTGAAGCGAGGATCCACGTTGAGGTGGTGGACGGCCAGGTCGGTCGGAATCCCAGGCATGTCCTCAACCGTCCACGCGAAGACCTGAGAGTATTCCCTTAACAGGGCCTTCAAACCCTCCTTCTCCTCAAAGGGTAGCAGCGAGTCGATGCGGATCACCTGGTCGGGCCGGTCCTCCCTCAAGGGGAACTCCTCTATCTCGTCCTGGGTGCCCAACTGCCGGATTTCCTCCCCCGAAATGTAGGGCTCCAGGCAGGTCGTTTGGGCGACCACCTTCTCCCGTCCTTGAAGTATGGCCAAGTAGCAAGCTCGGGCCACCTCTGGATCACCGCGTACCTCGGCTATTCCTCCCGGAGTGGGGAATTTGACGCTGAGGTGGAGCGTCGAGGGGATAGCTCGGAGAGCGTTCAAGGCAGGCCGACCCAAGAACACGTTATACGGGGATTGTTGCTTGACCACCACGAAGTTGATAGGGATGGTCCGGCATTTGGGGGCCTGCCCTACCGTGACCATCAAGGTGATCATTCCCTCCGGGTTGATAGGGGGTCCGGTGAAGCCCATCAGTGGTGTCCGAACTGGGGTCAGCTGCCCGTCCTCCAAGCCGAGCTCCTTGAACACCCGATAGAACATGATGTCGACCGCACTTCCCTGGTCGACATATACCTTCTTCACCCGGTAGTTGTTGGTAACAATGTCTATCACGATGGCCTCATGGTTCCCAGACGCTAGGGGGACTGCATCCCTTGGCCCAAAAGTGATCTCCTCGTCCATGCGCAGCCGTTTCAGGGAGTCATCCCCCTCAGGGGGAGGTCGCCTGTTCTTCCGAGCTGTGTGACTGTCTCCCCCGGTGGAGCCGCCGGCGATGGTGTTTATCACTCCCGCCGGGTTCTGGGTGTCCTGGTCGGGGGAGCGGCCCCGACGCAGGTCACGCCGCTCAGGACGGTCGCGACTCCGGCTTTCGCCCCGGTCTCCGCGGTAGGTGTGCCCGGGCTCCTGGCCGGGGCAACCTTGCCGCACAAATCGCCCCAGGAAGCCGCACTCGATCAGATTTTCGATCTCCTTCCGCAGGGCCCAACACCCCTCCATGTCGTGTCCGACGTCGCGGTGGAAAGCGCAGTACCGGTCCTGGTTCCTCTTGTTTCGAGGTGTCCCCATCTTGGGCGGCCGACCTCCCAGGCCTTCCGCCTCCATAACAGCCAGGATCTGGGCCCTAGGCCGAGTCAATGGGGTGTAGCCTTTCCCCGGGAGTGGTGGCGGAGCAGGGGCTTTCTCCCTCGAGAGCCGGTCAAAGACGTTTTTCCTGGCCGAACCATCCTTGCTTTCAGGGGGGTTTCCCCGTCCCCTCCGATTTCCGAGCTCCCGATCTGACTCTTTCTTCAGACGGCCTGCCTCCTCCGCATTAGCGGCCGCGTGCGCCCTGGTCAGGAGCTCCTCCAGATTTTCAGTAGGCTTCTCGGCCAAGTTATAGAAGAGCTCCTCTACCCTGAGCCCATTCGTGAAGGCGGCCATGACCAACTTTTCGTCTTTGTCCCTGGCCTGTAAACTCTCCGCGTTGAAACGGGTCATGAAATTTCTCAGGGACTCGTCGAGCCTCTGCCTGATAGCCATTAGGTGAGTTGCATTCTTCGAGTAAGTTTTCGAGGAAACGAATTGGGTTACGAACTATCTGGCCAATTCAGGGAAACTCCGGATAGACCCTGGTGCCAGACCTTGGAACCAGAGCCGAGCCTTCCCCTTTAAGAACATGGGGAAGGTCTTGCAGCGGATCTCATTCGCGGCTGTTTGCAGACGCATGTGCGTCAGGAAGACCAAGAGGTGGTCTTTCGGGTCGGTTGAAGCATCATACATCTCAATGTTCGGGATCTTGAATCTCCGGAATAGGGGGTAATCCTCTATTTCCCGGGGAAAGGGCGAGGTGGTGTAGTTGTCCTCGTACAACTGCAGCCGCAAGATCTGCTCGAGTTCGTCTCGGACAGGTTTCCACGGGGGTAGGTCGCGCGGCCGGCTCTTCACAGACCGAGCAGGGGAACGCTCGAGCCCATTCCGCGTAGGTTTCCGTGGGGAGGGGTCTCTTGGACGGCTCCCCGCGGGCCGGTCGCGGGAGTATCTCTCGCTGTCCCCGACCACCGAGACTCGGGGGCGAGGGGGAATCCGTGGCCGTTTCTTTCTGGGGGGTTGGTCGCGTGACTCATCCTCCGAGGGGTCCGGAAGTGGTTCTTTCTCTTTCCCCTTCGCCTTGGAGGTCTGTGCGCCACCGGCTTCGCCCTCCTCCTTCGCCTGCCGGATAATGTCTTCCAGCATGGGGAGATTCTCCGTCACGAACTGGAAGATCTGCTGCCTCCGCTCCCCTGAGAGGGCTGAGCCCCCGGCACCCCGAGCCGCCTCGGCCTCCATTCGCTGGGATCCTTCGCCGGCTCCAGGGTCGGTGCTCTCTATCGTTCGCTTGGATCGCGTTCTCGCCATCAACACAGTCTTGATTACCTTACGGTTCCCACAGACGGCGCCAACTGAAGAAGCGCTGAGCTTCCTCGGACCGAGCTGGACTAATGAGCTCGGTGTGCTGATGGGTAGAGCTGGTCCCAAGCCTGCAAGACGGACAACAGGGTGATCTAACAGGGGGCCCCGAGGTCGTCCCCGAGGGCACTCCGACGGTCAAGTTAGTTCACCGGTGGATGAGGTTTATGGGAATTTAAGCAGCCGAGAGTAATGTGCCAATAGTGAGCGTACCTTGTGTAAGTGGTGTGCATTACCATTTATACCTTCCTGAGAGTCCGACCTCCGTACGTTTCGGGACTTGCCCGGGATAACCCTTATCCCGCGGCGAGGGGGATTTCCTCCGACCTCTGCGGGATGGTCCCCTGGGCCCTCTGGAGCCCTAGCAGCGATGCGGCCCAGGACGGTTACTAGGGGCCTGGGGTCGAGGCCCAACTCGGCCATACCTGGGCTACCACGTGTCTAGGCCCAGGACGGGGCCTCTGCAGGCCCCAATTAAAAAACTTCTAGCATGTTTCTTGGTTGATTCACAGAGCAAATAGAAAATCTTGTTTTGGTTAGATTTGGTCAGCATATTTCAACACTGTTAAAAGTTCTAACACAGTATTCTGAGGTCTTGGCTAAAACAAGGCAACGAGGTGCAGTATTGGTAGACATTGTGGATACAGCCAGCTTCGATAACATCACAGCTTCAATGTTGAATGACCAATCCATAGCCATGAATGTGGAATTCAAGCTGGCATTAAATGCTTATCTAAAGCAGTTGATTACCTCTCCCGTGCGATCCCTAACTGATGCAATAGTCTTTAATAAGAAACACTCAAAGTTGGTAAGTAAACAACAGGCTCAATTCTGTCGATAGCCTTTTGTTAGAGACACAATACTCTCAGACTATTCGACTGTGTGTGCTTCAGGAAAAGATAAAAAAGTACGGACAAGATATATTTGAGGCAGCAGAGAAAACCAATGGCATTGGCAGAATGGAAAGACAACTACTGCTTAATTTAACTAGAGCGTCCAAAAATGGGTTCGAGAAGTTGATGAAGGAAAATAAATTGGATGCCTTAGTGACGCCTACTGACAATATTGTATATGCTATTTCTGCCGGAGGATACCCTGGCATAAATGTTCCAGCAGGTTATTACACTAATGGCACCCCATATGGCATTTCTTTTGGAGGGCTAAAAGGATCAGAACCAAAACTGATAGAGATAGCATATGACTTTGAGCAAGCCACAAAGATCAGGAAGCCACCTCCTCTCTCGAGACTGCATATTTAGGACATATATACAACTGAGATGCATCTTTCGATAATAGCATCTTGACTGCTGTACAACTATGGCATCTTTGTTGTGTAATTCTAAATAAAAATTTACTATCTCATCAACATCTTTATCATGTTTGTTTTGGCACATCAGTAGACCGCAATTGAAATTTCTTTTGATCTTTGTGATTTGATTGTTTTATCTGTCGGCACTCTTAAGATGGAGTTCAGGTGTTAATGTTTTGAAGAAGTAAAGTTCAGGGAAAGTGCATAAATACATAGGTAGGCAATAATTGTAAATGTATGCATTCACATGATTAGTTGAGTATTATCGAACGCTTGTTCAATAAAACCTTTCTCAAACTACTCTTCCATTTATTTTCTTTGGTTGGTCATTCACAACTCCGTTTTAGACTCTCTTTTTTTTTGTACAGCCGTTAATATGCTGAAATCGTAAACCGTCGAAAAATCAAGCCGAAACTGATGAACCGTCCAGTGTTCCTTTTGGTTTTTCATGTTTTATTATGTGGAAAAATCAGTCAATTTTCAACCATTCCATCAAGTTGGATTCTTTCACTTTCGTTTTTCTTTTCTGTCAAATGGGACTAAAAATTGAAGAATCCGGGACAAGATGTTCAACTTCCACTATTTCTTTGTCCTCTGCATCCAATAATTCTTTTCTTTCTTTTTCGGTGGTTTTGGGTTACATCTGGAGAAAAGCCACTTACACTATACTTTTGACAATCTATGTGATTCAGTAATTTGGAGTTTTACTTCAAGAAGTTTCTGGTTTCTCTATTTTTTCTTACCGTTGGATGTGATTTTTATGGGAAGTTTCTTAAAATTCAGTATGGGTTGTTTGAGTCATCACCAGGAACTATCTATTTAGATAATTTTTTTTAAAAAAATGATTAAGCTTTTTCTTTGGTACACAACATCTTTCAAAATTCTAAAATATCCCATTACAACTTATAAGTCCTTCCATTGTGTGTGCCACATTACACTACTGCCCCACCCGCAAGCACCGACAGAATGTTCACAGCAGCCATCAGACGCACTAAGAGGAAAGATATATCTTGGCTTGATTACATTACATTCATAGGGAATATGTACAGCGTTAAAAACTCACACAATCCTCAGATCATGGCACAAAATCACATATATATATATGACCAAGTTTGAGAGTCGACTAAAATCCGTACTAGCTAAGATGGGTTCTGGAGACATCGGACAATTTATTTTACTTACTATTTATGTTGAGAATTTATTTTGCTTACTATTTATGCCTTTGTGTTACAAATATTTTCTCTCTTTCATTATTTGGCCTGCCGCTATCCTCTTCTTTAGGCTAGAACCCTCTTGTAGATCCAGAACACTAAGCCTACAACTACACATTACTAGTGTGGTTAATATGGAGAGGCAAAGGGAGAGGGAGTGCAATAGACATGTGAACTTTAATGTAGTGCTTAAAAAAAATTCAACATATCATATTTGGATCTCAATACATTGCATAGTTTCCCACCAAATCCAGAAATTCCATTTCTGTTCCTCTAGTCCATCCCACTTTATTGGAGAGGATTTCCAAGCCAGCTAGCTTTGTACGATAAGAGTGCATGTTCCAGAGTTTCTTTAGATTCTCCACAGTAATTTCAATCTAGCATTTCCTTTTCCTGTTCTTCTAAACACCACTTCGTTAGTAGGTAGAATGTTGTGAAGGCACTTCCATAGGAAGTGTTTCAAATGTTCATGCTCCATATTTGATTCCGTAGTTTAGACTGCTCTTTGTTTCTGCCTGGATTGCCCTCCTCTTTCATGCTTGCTCCTTTGACCTTCTATCTCGCTTTCTCAACCACATATCCGGATTTTGTTGTGTAGAGGCCAATAGTTGAGTGGAGCCATTTGAACTTATCTTTACCACCAAACATTCATATTGGCATTTGTTGGATTTTTTGAATTCCCTCCTGTGTGAGCAGAGATTGCAGCAGTTCACTACCCCATTCCACCGTGCATCCGGCTGGTCTTGATGATGAGATTTTTCCACGGTCAATTCTAGGTAGCCAACAATCATTCCAGATGTTAACCGATATGCCATCTCCACTTCTTAGTTCTTTCCTCAGGCCACTAGACATTAAAGGTATTGTTGGAAAAATTGCAAAGAACTGGCAAATATTGTGACAAAAATTGGCTTCAAATCGTGATAGATATCACTTTCCTTTAGGCTTTATTTGTCCGGTATAATGTGCAATAATCTTGGACAAATATCCTTTAGGATAAGATGAAGTTTGTTTGTCCTAAACTCTTGCACAAAGCAAGACAAACCTTTTGTGAACTATGGAGTGCTTTTGAGAGAGTACACAATAGTAGGAAAGTAATTTTCTGCAGCAAACCATTCTCTACTTGACATCTTCATATAGGAAGATTGTTTAAGAAACAAAAGAACTCATTAAATACTTGTATGACTAGATTCAAAGTATTGTGTACAAATTCATGTACTTTAATTCATGCATATCAAAACATGAATCTATCCTTTCATTCAAAGATTCCCATATATATGAATACATTCATAAATGAATGTACATTTTAGAAACATTCACAATACTATACATGTACCAAAAACATGAATATACATTAAATACATGTATGTACATCATACAAATTTTGAAAAGTTTCCAACAGGTATGGAACTGTGAAGACTTTGCCATAACCATGATGCTCCCACTTTGAGTTTTGAATCCAGAGAACCAGACTGAGGGAAATATCTGCTTTTCAACACTTTGTTCATTAACAAATTGGGGCTAATAACTAGTAAGAGTCATCCATGCCTGCTTGGCAAGAAGTGCCATGTTGAAGCATCGAATCCAGAAGTGCTAATAACTAGATTGTACCCTATAAGCTGAGCTCATAGAGTAATTTCCATTTGAGCTATGAATCCAGAAGTTGTTGTCCTCTCTGTTTTCCAAGCTTATGGGGATACTTAGTATTCTCTCTGCCTCCTTGGAGCTATGAATCCAGAAGTTGCTATCCTTGCCACTTCTTCCGGTGCATCTTTTTTTCCCCGTTGGTCATTGGCCCACCAAAATTTGGCCATGATACCACTTAACTCTTTGTACATGTTACTATATAATTTAAAAACAGACATGGCAAATGATGGAAGGGCTAAAACCATAGATTTCAAAAGTGCTTCTTTACCTGCATTGCTTAGTAGTTTGCCTTTCCAACTTTGCACTTTTGAGACCAACATGACACTTAGATTTACTTAGGCAAATCTATCTATCTTCTATTCATCTTTGCAATTGCATTTTCAGGTTTAAAATTTTGGCAATCATAATAGTATTGGTATTATAATTGGCCCCCTTCTATAAACTATATCTTGGATTAATTCTACTGTTTAAATACACATGCAATGCACGTGCTTTTTTCTAGTTATCAATAAATACCCGTATAATTTTCTAAGTAATGACCTTGGGTAAATCTACAATTTTATTGGAGAGACTGACTGTGTAAAGAAAATGTTGCCAATTAATGGTTGTCCAAATCTGAAGTTTTCTAGTAATTTCTCATTTCTCAAATTGCTTTCTCAAGTTAACTTTCTTTGGGTGACGGTCACGTTACATTTTAGACCTTTTCCCTCCAAAAATTCAAGCAAATGGCCAAGAAACCGTCCTCCATTCCTGTTTTTTGTTTGTGTAAACCTAGTATCGAATGAAGTTGGCTTCCTTTTTCAGTGGAATAGGACTGAATATTATTGCATAGTCAGGGATGCCGGTCTTCCGCATTTTCTTTGTCTTAGCATTATTGCATCCAACAATTCTTTCCGGAGAAAAAAACACTCACCCTCCACTTTTGACAATTTAGGTAAGCAGGTTATTTGGAGGCCATACATTTTTCTTTTCCACCAATCTAGGTATCATAGTTATTTCACTTAGTTTTGCACTTACCTTCGCCAGAACATGAAGATATTGCCCCTATTAGTGATATGCTCTTTTCAACAAATATAGAAAAGGATAAGAACGTCAAATTATCAAATTTGAAGTTAAACTTGCTATATGACAAAATCACCACGAGAACAAGAAATTAATGAGGAACTAGTTATTCACCTGTGCAATTAGAGAAGAATTTGGAACACATTAATAGAAAAGAACTACAATAACAGACTTCATAAAATTTAAGATTCATACCACATATAAGAATAATCATCAAGTTAAGCAAAACAACAATAGTTAAATCAGAGCAACTTCATGATTAGCTTGGATTGAATCTTAACCTATGATTTACTTTTGCTCACTCTAACTGGTGTTGGTAACGTAACATGTTTGGAGAAGTAAATAGATTGAGATGCCTTTTAACACATCATTGTTTTTTTTTTTTTGAAGAAAGATGTAGGTAAAGAAATTAATAATTGAAAATCTATAAAATGAAAAAGAACGTAAAGCTCTGAATCAATTCTTGAACATAATTTAAAAATGAAGTAATTGATTTCCATTGTCATGTTATAAGGACGGAGATTATATGCTTTCCATAATTTTCTAAATTGAAGAATGGGTAAAATTATGTGATTAACTATGAGGGATGGATATATAGTTTCTCTAATTTTCTAAATTGGATAATGGAGATCATAAATTTTTGGTTAAGGATTAAAAAAGGGAAAAAAAGAGAGAGAAAATAATTTAGAATCTTCACATGTAAGGAATGGAAATGGAAAATGAATGCATTTAAAATTCAATTTTTTGAAGAATAGAAAATTTAGAAATGGAAACTAATAGAGAGAGGAATTACCAATTTGCTTTAAGCATAAGAATCTGGAAAAGGAAATCTAAATTGACAGGAAGTTTTTTTTTTTAAATTGTTCAAGAAATAAAGAAGTATGAAAAGAAAAAAGTAATAGAGAGCATGTCTAAGTCAAGTCTTATACGGACTTGGGTGTGGCTAACGGTTTCCAATGGAGAAAATATAATGATTACTAAACGAACTTTATAAAACAAATGACTACTTGGACAACCTAAATGGAATAGCATA